CGTGAGCGCTATCTTACTTTGCAGGTAATGGTCTGCGATACTAACGGGGCCCCAGTGGGCTAGACAGGTTAACCTCCGATATTTCAGGGAGAAAGTGCACAAAACAATTGAGTAGAAGGGGAGGGATCTGAAATAACATTAACTGACCTTTCCAACAGTGCTCGTCATTGTGAATCCGTATTACTTTGCCGTGGGTGATCGAGAAGTCGCCCGGTTTGGGGTCGTTGTGTATCAAGACCCTATCCCTAACGTTAAGCCGCAAGGAGAGACGGGCCGGGTAGAATGAAAAGAATACAATAATTACACTCTTAGTGGCCTAATAGTTGGGATGAGGTGAAGAACGTATACAAGGAATCGTGCCGGATAATCAACAGAGAATGTTGGAGTTTTATCTTGTTGGGAGAATACCTTGGCGGAGTGAGGAGAAGCGATAAGGAGTAGCTCCAGTGAAGGTGGGGTGAGGGGTTATTTCGTAGGGCTGATACTGGAAAATACCGAGAAATACCTCGAACACCCACAGTTAGGTGGGCTTTTAATGGAGAATTATTGGCTGTTGAAGGTTTTCTCCCCATCATGACTAGATTGCTATGATATTTCCTATTGCCATTACTAGGGCCTTGGTTAGAACTTAACAATATATAGATAAAGTTCAGCTCCTTTCTTCTATCTCCTAAGATCTTACAATCTTTTAACATTGTAATTATATTTTCTTATATAGGTGTAAACATACGCTACCCAATATCAGTCATTCAGAAGAATATACTCTGCTTATGAGTGCTGCTAATAAGTAGATATATTGAAATATTGAACATGCTGTCTAGTTGAATGTGATTTGAATTTTATAACATGATGAGAGCTAGTTTTCTAACCAAGTTCAACTAGATGCCCAAGAGGTAGAGAATTGCCTAGTTTGAGATATGAGTTGATATAGCTCTAACAATCCAAGCCTGTCCTGAGGTTATCCCTTTATTGCCGGAATTCACCAACCCCTGGACTAAGGTATATATAGATACCCTTACAATTGATTGGATTGGTCTCCTCTATTCAAGATCAAAATGATAAGCGATCCCGGACGCATACAAAAACACATAAATCGAGATAGTTGATGGAGGTGGAAGGTTGGTTGCTTACTTGTAACTACTTTGCATTGGAGTGCCGGTCAAGCGGCTAATGTTGGGTGCCAACAATAGTATCCAATAGTTAGTATCATTGATAAATAAACGAGTTCCAAATCGTAATGTATGTACTAGTACTTAATAAACAACACATCATTGTATCATTCAAAATCAAACGGACGCCCATCATTCATTCAATTTTTTCAGCCTGGTAGGAGTACAACATCCCAGCAGTCTGCTGCTCCGTCGTGAGCGGGTGTGCATCTTCACTACTTTTCTTCTTGCTCAATTCCATAGTCCGCTTGAGTACCCGTTTCATAGCAATGATTCCATCATCACTTATTTCTATAAAATAGAATTGGTTATCTACCAGGGTTTATTTGAAATGAGAGAGGAAAGAAGGGAGAGAGAGAGGAGGGAAAAGGAAAGTAAAAAAGCTATCACTCACGATAATGAGTAACAATCCTCCGTGCGAAAACTAGTACTCCTTCTTCCTTCGCGATTCTCTCAAATTCCGTCCCTGAAACCCCAGCTCTACCCAAATCTAACCAAACCATATTCGTCTCCTGACCAAGGCCAGGCATTACTGCACCTCCCAGCGCAATCCACTCTTCCTGCAATTCACTCGCTATCGCATTGGCTCGCATCAGAGGCTCGCCAGCAAGAAACACCTCGTCAATAGCGACGCGTGCGGGTGCCGAAATGATCCCAACTTGACGCATCGCGCCACCTAGCGCCTTGCGAAAATGGCGAGCGCGTGCAATCACCTCTGGCGATTTGGCGGCCAGGATGGAGCCGTTAGGCGCACCCAAGGATTTTGAGAAACACAGACTAACCGTATCGACATGTGAGCAGTATTCCCGGAGCAGGGATTTGGCGATTTCCGCCGCCTCTGCCGGGGACAAGCCGTCGCTTGAAGGCGGATAGCACGCGTTCCAGAGCCGGGCGCCGTCCATGTGCACCTTCAGACCGTGCTGGTGGGCATATTCTGCTATGCGCCTTACTTCAGAGACAGGGGTAATTTTCCCATTGTATGTGTTTTCCAGCGCGATAATGCGCGTCGGGGCAGCGTGCACGTTGCCGTCGTCGGGGACTATGTTCGGGATGATAGATTCTAGAGGCAGGTATGATTGTTGATTGCCATTGGCATTATTCTTGTGCGGGCTGCTTAGCACGGGGATGAGATGTGCCTGTGAAAACATAGAGGCCATTCCGCATTCGTGCACGAAGATGTGACTATGCCGGCCACAGATGACGGAGTGGGGCGGCTGCTGTAAAAGCGAGCGCAGGGCCAATTGATTGCCCATCGTGCCTGATGAGACGAAAAGGGCATTTCCCATACCCGTCAACTCCCCGACATAAGTCTCCAGGGCATTAGTTGGTTTGTCTTGGGAGAAGACATCGTCCCCGTAACCCGGAGCTTCGGTAATCGTTGATGAGAGCATGCAGCTGCTCGGGAGAGTGACAGTATCACCTGTTTGGTCATGTTAAGGTATATGGTCTATATCTTATAACTGTACTATGTAGGCTTACTTCGGAAATCATGAGTGGCAGCGCGAGTGTTCCGGGCTGCTTCTGGTATTATTGTTTGCGGGTGCATTGTGTTGGTTGATCTGGTAACTCCCGGTGCTGACGGTGTTGTTGAAAGACTATGCAATGGAAAGGCAATTCTACCCAATGGATTAGAAGGCTGTCGTGAGCGGCATATAAATGCTCGGGGAATCATTGCTTTTATTTGTCAACCGGAGCTTCAGAGCGAGTGTTCAGTGAGGGGATGGACATTTACAACCAGAGATCGGCGGGCGATTTACACCCAGCCAAGAATTTACTAGTAAATTTCTACTGCGAAACTTACAAAAAACCAAAGCTGATTAGAATATCAGATATCAGATTTCACGATCTCGGTGAGCATATAGGCTGTTTACATGTTATTCAAAGTCTCCGCCGCTGCCATCCTCCTAGGGTTTGGCTCAGGTTCAAAAATCTGTTTAACACTTTTAAAATCACCAAAATC